TAGTTTTGAGTATTGCTGTCGTTTTTGTGACGGTTTAAGATTGTAAAGATATTTCTCTGTTGCAGTTTTTCGTTTTTCCATGTAAGGAAGAAACACAGGAAGCCCAATAATATAACATGTGACGAGAAAAGGTCAAMACTCTTTGGAGGGAGRTCAATCATTTTGCAATCTCTTTCGACGTTTCTTGGAGCTTTTAAGGACTTCAAGGTATGTATCTTTGCAAAATATAGCATAATAAAATACATAGTCGACATTCAAAGGGCCAAAGTAGATTATACACTGTAATCTAAAGCAATCGTTTGGGAAGACTTAAGCTTATGCTGTTATGGAAATTAAAATTTTAGTTTAAGCTTAAATTCAACTTCAATTTTATGTGATTGAGTAATCCATTCTCAAAAGAACARAAAAAAAGCTTAAGTAGCGAACTAATGAACCGGGCTTATTACCTGTTATCAAAAAATAAGTTTAATCATTACAGTTTAAGTGATGCGAGTAATGATCCATGTTCATCATGCACTGGTAATTAGCATGCACWTATTATGATTTGTGTCGCTGTATGCTTTGGTATCATATTTTTTTAGAACGGAGAACAGCTAGTGGAGAAGTCCTCTATAATCCTTTAACATATTGTTCAGTTGAGATTAATGGATTTTTAAAGTGTTAAAAATTAAATGCTTCAAATACCCCAGTTTCTATGCCAGCTGTTTACTTAGCTAAATTTTGGCTAATTATCGCAACTTTGAAAATTAGAAGTCAGAATATACAATTATTTTTCTTGAATCTTAAATCATGTCGAAGTACTTTCATTGACAAATGAGATTGCATTTTAGCCCTCATGTGAYTGTTCAAATTTACCTAACAGCAATCATTAGAATGGCTAAAGAACTGCCCTCCTTGAGTGGTCATGTATGCTTGGTTACTGGTGCTTCTAGAGGAATCGGAAAAGGGATAGCTTTGATGTTAGGGAAAGCTGGAGCTACTGTTTATATTACTGGGCGAACATTGGTTTCAACAGATGGTAAAACTGGATCTCTTACTGATGTAGCTAAAGAGGTTTGGTCTGTTTTATATTTTGCTCAATTCACAAGTCAAATCATTGATTTGTATTGTGATTGGGATGAAGAGAATGTGCAAACATGAGATTTTTTGGAATTCACCATTACTCTAAATGCACTAGCTGTCCTCCCATCTTTGAACCCCAAACCCCCCCTTATCATTCCACACTGCCCCCTCCCATTCCCCTCTCTCCCCCAAAAAGCACAATTGCCAACAAACTAAGATATGACCATTGCTTTGATCTTTCTAAGGTTGAGGATCAAGGTGGTGTGTGCATCCCAGTGCAGTGTGACCATGGTAACGATGACCAAGTAAAGAGTGTGTTTGACAAAATAAAAGCAGAACAAAATGGACGTTTTGACTTGTTAGTAAACAACGCCTACAAAGGTGTCAAGGTATTTGCAATAATCGTGATCATCATATTGTTATGGAAATATCACAATCAACCATTGTGGTTGTTATTATACCATTATTTTTATTCAACTTAGTATTCATTGTTTATTCACATTATCATCCATGAGATAATTTTCATAGCTACAATTGTACCCTTTTATATCTTCATCCAAAGTCACAGCTTTATTGTTATRGTTACAATTATTTTTGTTTTATATTTAATCCAGAGAATTTTTGATACAGCAGGAAAACCATTCTATGAACAGGTCAGCAAAAAGTGAAATGCAGTCAGCATAACTATTCCATTGCAGATGTCGTATGTAGGTTCAAAAAGCAATTTAAAAGCATTTAGAAGCCCTTTGGCAATTGGCAAACTGCATGAGACATCTGCAACTGATTAGTTGCACCTTGGAAACACTCCAATATTATCTGCAGCATTTGAGGCAACTTGTGATTGAATAAATCCCTGCTCCAGAGACTATTACAGGAATATAACCCCCTTTGACATTATGGACACTAGCTATCATACACACTAATAGATGTCAATTGCAGTTTCTTAGTATCTGTTTTAAGTGTTACCTGCATGGTATTATAGCCTTTTTGCAGCATGCAATCAGTTAAACTGCAAGCCTTTGTGTGATAAAACAACAGCATGCATAATCAGTTGAACTCCTGATATTCTTTTTTTATCAGCTAGAGAATGTTTTGTTTTATTCTTTCTAGCCTCTTAACACATGGGATGAAATCAATAATGTTGGATTAAGGTAATTGAAGATTAATTTCATTTAATTATAAAAAAATAAGGCATGAGATATAATTTTAATATTATATTTAAGAAATATAAAACGGCGCGCGTGTCTCTGTCCTCTGATATAAACACAGTGGGAGTTCGAAAAATGCGAGAGAAGCAAGCTTAGGAACACGAGCGTACCAAGTGTTTCTCTTCTCGAGTGTTTTTCAACTCCCACCGTGTTTATATCAGAGGACAGAGACACAAGCGGCCATTTTATATTTCTTTTATAAACTTTTTCGAGCGAAAAGAAAATTTTGCCGGTAAGTCGTCTCTCTGTCCTCTGATATAAACACGGTTGTCAGCCAATCAGAGCGCGTGTTATATATCAAAAATTTTATAATTTATAATAAAAGGTATGTCAACAAAGCAAAAAATTGTCTCTTCCTTTTTTTTATTGATTTAATTTAAAGTTTTGGTCTAATATATGGTATTTACCGGCTGGGAGGCCCGTATAGGAAAACACTGCCAGAGGTCTTGACATGACAATACRGAACRATCGCAGTGAGATCCATACATAAAAGATCGAGGGCAGTGTTTTCCTATAAGGACCAGACCTATAGCCAGATTTAACTTTGTTTATTCCTCAAGGTCCAACTATGTTGCAGCATATTATGCAGCCCAGATGATGGTACCAAACAAGCATGGCCTCATTGTTAATGTGTCGTCAGCRGGGGGTTTGGCATATTTGTTCAACATTCCATATGGAGTAGGAAAGGCTGCTGTAAGTTTCAACATATTTTACATAATCCAGCAATTTTTCAGMAATGTTTACTATTGTAATACCATGATCACCTCGGATTCTTTTGTCTTCCGAGGGATGTTTAAAAGCGAACATCCCTCCCTCATGAATAGCATGAGGGACGATTACCAGTAATCGTCCCTCATGCATAATAACATGAGGGAAGATTAGACTAATCGTCCCTCATGTTATTCATGAGGAATGGAAGGCAAAGGAAACCTTTGCTTCCTAGCTTCCTAGTAGGGACAACTGAATGTCCCTACAGCTGTCTTCTTTTTACCTCTGCAACGAACGGTCTGGTTATCGTCTCAGTCACACTGAAATATGGGATGTTTTTTGGGCCAAATTGACCGATTAGCTCTGGTTCCGAGTCTCTACTTCGTACCGCTGAGCATGTGCACTTGACGAATTTCAATGTTTGATAATAGTCGATAAGCTTCTTGGCATTATACTTGCAAATATAAAAATTACTTTTCAGGGTTGAAGTTAAGGTTCGTTAACTTCATCATTGAATAGAACTGAAAAGCAATTGTTTAAAAGTTCGTTGTGGGAAATCAGTGACAATGGTCGGATTACCAATATCATTTTGTACTGTTCTGCAAAAACCTTTTCAATCACTCAATAAAGTACTTGATACTCTTAGAACAGTGTGTATCCATTCTTTTCATGTCACATTCCAATTCATGCACATGAATTGTTTGTTGCAATGTTTAAATTACTTCTGATTGAAAACATTGGAGCATAAAAAAACAAGAATTCAAAATTCGCTCAAGTTCAAATTCAAGTTTTTCCTCGGAAATCATGGTATTACAAAGTAATAGCATGGCTTCCTCAGGAGATTAGGGATTAAATGTCCCTCAGCATCGGGCAGATAAGTAAAAGTCCCTCCGGCCTGCGGCCATCGAGACTTCCACTTATCTGCCCTCGGCTTCKGGGACATTTAATCCCTAATCTCCCTCAGAGCCATGCTATTACTTATAAAAATGTAATATATATATCTCAACACTCTTTTAATTTCTAGAATGACCGTATGATGGCTGATATGGCAGTTGAATTGAAGAAAAGCAATGTTGCAACAATCTCTCTGTGGCCAGGGCCAGTAAATACTGAATTTGTGTCATCAGCCCTGCAGTCACCGGATGCGGTAATATAAAAGATGTCATCAGATTTAATTTAAAGATATAGTTATTTTTATGAGTTTATTCTTTAAGAAGTGATTCTCTTAATCTTGTACAAAGTTACAAGACAATGTCAGTCTGTTGCATGATTTTTAGTGCTTGATCCAAACTTATTATTTTATAGAACGACAGAATGGCTTCTGTTTTCAAAGATGCAGAGGATCCTACATTCTCAGGAAAAGCTGTAGCTTGGTTGGCTGCRGGTAGAATGGAAATAAGATTGAATTTAATTGTTATTTTTAGATGCTATGTTTTCTGATTATAATTATTTTTCAGTCATAATTTTTCAAAGATGTTGGTTGATTGGGCTAAGATTTTAGAAGCAATAAATAAAATGACAAGAATGACAAGATAAGAAATCAACAGTCTACATACAAACACAGCGAAACAATACACCATGATGAGCATATCAACAACACTGATTTCCAAATATCAGCCGAAGACTATACTTGGGAACAAAAGCATAAAATCACTGTCCTCATAAGAGAACATAACCCTGATCTTAATGAGCAAGGACAATCAGTTGAAATTATTGAACTGACCGTATAACATGCAATCTCTAGAGAATTGAAACATATTGTAATTAATATTCAAATAACTTGATTAAGTTAATACACTGATGATGGRTGATGGATTTCGTCGAAAATATTTGTATTAAGAAACTCATGTCATAATCATTATRCTAAGTTAAAGTTCAAGAATCCTTCGGTTCTTGTTGATATTGGTATGGAAGAGAAAAAAGGAAAAGAGAAACATGAAAAAGAACAAAAACAGATACCAATAAAAAGGAATGAATCAAAGAAATTTATTGTGGGAGTGAAAAAAGATTGTGAAAAAGGAAATTAAATGAAAAACGATTGTTTACTCATGTTATCACATTTTGAAATATTAATATAAATGATATTTGAATTTTAGACTCAAACATCATGAGCAAGAGTGGAAGTATTCAAATTGTGGCGGAGTTAGCAAGAGAATATGGTTTTTCTGATGTTGGAGGTAAGTCTTCTACAGCGAATGCTGACAACAAATATACTCCATTTAGCAACAAATAATATTACAAACTGATATGGTCACTATATCACCAGGATGGTTTTGATAATAATTTACTATTTGCAGGGAATGTGCCTCTTTCATTTCGCCAAGTCAAGTTTTTAGTAAAAAGGACCTATCCTAGTCTTCAATGGATGGTCCCAGAATTTCTGTATGTCCCAGGTTGGGTCCTTGGAGCTCAATTTCACAGATTTAAAACACCATCAAAGATGTAAAAAAGTACAAATTGTTAACAATTATAGAGCAAACGCAGGAAAACCATGAAATAATATCAAAATAAATACTAACAAATAGCAAYTATTTGGAGACAATTTGTCAGTATCAATGAAACAGAACGCAATAAAGATGGTCCCATGTTGATTCATCTTGAATCATTGTTTTTCTGGTTCATTGATACAGACAAATTGTCTCTAAATAGCCACTTATTTGTTAGTATTTAGTTTGATTATATTTCATGGTTTTCCTGCATTTGCTCTATTGTATTTGTTTTCTATATATATGCATATAATTGCAATAGCGTTGTCATAGTACAAAGAACATTGTGCTTTGGTAAAAAGGAATAAATGAAAAAAAAAAAAAGATTAAATGAAGTAATGTATTCCTTTTGATTGTAAATGTTTTCTATGAAAACGTTTTTGCAATTAAGTGTATGATTATGATTTTAACAATGAAAGAAATTGATTATAATAAGATATTTACGTTTATATCATTGGTTGATTATCTTTGTGAAGTCACCATAGTAACAGTGAAATGCTTACATAATTATTATGTAATTTTAGGCGAGGTAAATTGCTCTATCACATAATTACGTCACACCAAAACATTCTATTGCTTTAATGCTAAGGATTATGGTCACTAGAGGGGATTAGAGTGACTGCATATCAAATAAAAATCTTTCGGAAAGAATATTTTGATAGGTCCAAATTTCTAGTCCTTCTGAGCATCTATCCACAATGTAAACGTACTGTGACGTCATTATGCCATAGGGCAGCTATCATGTGATTTTTGAAAACAGCTCAGTCTGAAAAAAATTATACCAGAAAACAAATCTCAAGAGAATACTTTTAAGTATTAAAACATACCTTAACGTATTAAACCGGCATTAAAAAAAAGACTTACATATGATTTCACGATGATTTCACGGATAGAGTGGTTTTCATAAAGCCGTGAAATACACTTGAGGTCACTACACTTTACCTCTCTTTATATTAGAGTGGTTTTGATTCACACTTTATTACACTTTGACTGTTACACTTTGTTTCACGGGTTAATGAAATCCACTCTATAGCTATCATAGTACGGGTTCTCTGATTGGTCAAATGTAACTATTTCACCAGTAAACGCACGGATGCGAAAATGCTTTCTTGGTAAAATAAACTACTTGGAATATTGGGGAAACGCTTTTTCGTGTTCTCCTGACATCTCGTTTGGAGTTCACCAGGAACGCACAAAAATGTTTTGTTTATTGCTGAATTATTTTGCAAGTTTTTCTTTGTTTTTTTTTTTTTTTTTTTCGGTGTATCTCATTTTATTGCAGTTTGACTTTTACACTTTTTTTCGCGGGTTTTTGAAGCAAATCACTATATAAGTAACAATTATAGAGAATATACGTACAGATGTATCTAATCCAAAATCAAACAATAACCAGACAGAATATGTCGATAGATTATCAGTTAAATTGGTCATTAAACGATGCAGCATCGAGGCACTGATTTAATTTTATGAATTAAAAGTTTTAAAACATCGTTGTATGGACTTATTGGATAATTGCAACCCTTGCTGTTTAACCCCAGGTGTATGTTCATGTGTTATGTCAGATTAACTTGTAATGCGAGTGTGAAATTACGTCTGACAGCTTGCACGACATGTTATTGGCTTTACCTTGAGCAACACGATTCCGCAAAATGAGTTTTACCGAGTATTGTTTCGTAAATTTCTTACGGTATTTTTTCTTGGCTTGCTTATTGATAACATATATCAAGGGGACCATCATCAATATGGCTGAAGCAAAAGTATCCGATTCCTCGTCTTTACAACAAGGTTAGAATAAGATGATATTGCTTCCTGAGTCAAGGCCTAAATTATAAGTAACTACTTCAACACACTCTTCAATAATGATACTATCTTGATACTAACCATAATAACGTATAATAAATGCTTCAGATTAGGTCCAAAAATATTACGTGCAGGCAGAAACTTTAGACAGCAATGTTACAGGGGTTTTGGTAAATTTCAGAGCATGAAGGAAGCATGAAGCTGATCAAAATGTTTAATCCTTCGACATCATCCACAATTTTTGGTCCTGATTTGAACATCAAGACAAACTTTAGATGCCCAAAAATCTCTGTTCATGTTTGACTGAATACTGTGGACATAAAACTATCACAATCGAGACTCATCTAATTTCTTTTATTCCAAGATCAGGGTAACCCGTATATAAACTACCTATTTAATCCACGGCTTACATTCACTGGTACGTTTCAAGCTGATGTGCCCACTATAAACAATGGAGTAGAAAACTTCGATACGCGAAACTTTGTGCAGTACGACTCATTAAAGAGTGGCGATTCTTTTAGGCCTCTTGGATCTGGAGAATGGGATGTTAAAGCTTCCGTGACACAGGTTTGCTATGTCAATGGGACATGCCTTACTGATGGTAGAGATCCGATATTGAAGGCGAAGTTCAAAGGTATATTGGCTCAGGTTATGTTCCCTCCGAATAGAAACTAGAATCTTGTTGCACTGAAGCTACTTACTCTTCATTTATCAATTCACCCATCCAACCCATCATCCATTCATAGATTCATTCATCCATTCAATTTTTTATGTGTACCTTTTGTTTAGCAAACTCTCATTTTTTTCCTTTTTCAGGTGGGAACAGAACATTAGCCAAATGTGTGGACCTTGATCCTCAGGCCCAATTCTTTGCTAAGATCTGGGGCTGGAAAATTCTGATTGGAGATTTCTTTTCCGCGGACTTCACTCCTACTCCATCGCAGTACTATTGGCCTAAAATGATTGACGGTGACACAGGAGGTGCAGCCTTTCAATCGGTCTTGACAGGATTAACATGGATCCATGACAAGAACACTTCTCCATTCATAGAAGAATGGAAAAAAGAGATGAATAAGACGAACATTCACAGCGACAAATTGTCTATAAGGTTTAATGTTGATATGTATGTGGACGATTTTAAAAAGAGCACTTTTACCTACGGACGCATTACAGGTTAGTATGCTTTCACAAGCGCAATATATCATATTATGAATATATTCTGGAATAGAGGTGGTAAATATTGATTTCCATCATTTATCACGTTAATTTGCTTGAAATGAAAATGTTTATTCGATAAGTGTACGAGACTGTCTGTATACAAAAGGCATGTCTAAATATCTCTATTGTATATTGAATAGATCGCACCGTCTATGAAGATCTGGTATTTTTTCCTACTGCATAAATATCAAATTTGTATACATGATAGATACCGCACACTATAACTATAACATAAGAACAACTAATTTCTTCTACAAAGGCACCATTGGACTTACGGGCGTCAAACCTCCGCCCTTTTTCAGCCATGGTAGAATGCTTCATAGACAATCTCCAAAAGTTCAGAGTGCACCATTCATAGTGGATAAAAAGAAAAGAAAAATTTACGTAGACTTTGGAAACAGCCTACCAATAACTAAGAATGGCAGTTTTGACACGAAGATTCTTCAAAAACTATATGTGGGGATTCCTCAAGATATTGATGCCTCGTTGAGGATATCGTGTAATAACAAGTTCTTTTGGATCGGTAAAGTCAATCAGACTTCTCCAAATTGGTACAAGAACGATGCTGGAATCCAGTCCTTTCCTCCAAATGGATCATTCACAAAACAGGAAGTTGATATGGTGACAGATAGTCCGTTGGCTCTTGCAGAGGTAAAAATATGTCTTTATATCTCACACGTTTTAATACGACTCTACTACTTCGTCTAAATCTTCTTCTCTTTATAAACATTATTGAGGAGTAAACACGATTAACATGTCCTGTATTTAACTTACGATTTGATTTTGTCAGGTCACTGTTAATTGGAAAGGGATCGTTTGTAAAGAGATTCTACTTGCAGAAGCTGTGGATGGTGTTGATGTTCACCCATACGACGACTGGACCATGCACAAAGAGCCTGAAAAAACAGCTCAAGTTCGACTTCTTGCCACAAAGTTTGGCGAACCTTTAGAAAACGTGCAAGTCTACTTCGAGCCAAATGACTGTCGCTTGATTTTTACAGATAATGATAACCTTGGACATTCCGTTGGTTTTCCCAAAATTGCACCACCTAAATATGTCATAACCGATTCAAACGGTATTGCAAAATTTCAAATTCAAACAATAGATCTCAAAAGTCCCAGAGCAGATTACCTTGATGGCCAACTATATCCGTACACTTATTCTATTGACAAAAGGAACTTCACCTTGATGTGCAACGATRAAGATTKGTACAAACTTCTTAATCATTTGATCGTYATTGCAAATTGGGACAAATACGGACCTGTTGCAGAACCAACATGGTTAGATAATGTCTATCCAATATTTAAACAATATGCGAATCTCTATCCARTAATGACAGAGTATGTTGTTGATCTGGGCAACTATTTCGAAGTGGTGGACCGTAAGACATCCATAATWATGAGCRTGGAATTGCCTATTTCTCACCCAAACTACATGCCTGTTACAAGAGATCTATCGCCTTCTAAAAGGAAAGTGATCTTGGACTGGCTGAAGAAAGACGAGCCTCCAGTTGGAAAGCCGAAGGACTTTTATACAGTTGAGAACCTTCGAAGAGACTTGCAAACAGCCCTGCAGGTGGAACAAGCCACAATTGCTCCATATATAACCGCCTTAGCGTCAATTAAGTATAACTACAACGATGAGGTACAGAACATTTTRTATTTTATCTCCACTCAAGAAATGATGCATATGAACATGGCTGCCAATATATTGAATGCTGTTGGTGGACGCCCAAAGTTTTACTCAAAGAATGTCGCTCCTTTCTATCCCTCTCGTCTCCCAGGAGGAATACGCCCAGACCTGGTTGTTCCATTAGAAAAAGCGTCTATTAACCTTATTAGGAATGTCTTTAKGGACATTGAAGAACCACAAGTGACAAAAGAAARACARTCATCCATAGATTTGATGTTTGATTTTGTTGAAAAACTTAAGAACAATGATCAAGAAACTTGCGATGTATTGGATCCCATGARTACRCTTTCTGAAAGTCCCAATGATCCACACGTTGACGAAGACTACTTCCCTTGTCTTGTTCCGGGATTCAAAGACCATTCTATGACAAGTAAGATCTTATTGATCACAATATCRACCCATTATAACATTTCCTGTATCTTAAGTTTTGTTCATTTCTTTAGATTTTAAACATCGTCAGTACGGAATGTCTCGAAACAAAAGAAGGAGAAGACAAAGAAGAGAAAAGTTCGATTACCACAAACACCACAACACAATCGGTGAATTTTACAACCACATTCTAAACACCTTAGGGTACCTCACAAAATGTGGACGAAACAACAGCATCTTTACCGGTGACCCGGGAAGACAAGTCAACTTTTCGCCTTGGCCAGTGCATGGTCGTACTTTTAAAGTAACCAACTTTACCACAGCTGTAGAAGCTATAAAACTGATTATTGAGCAAGGCGAAGGAAGCTCTCCTTGCAATCCCATGGCGTGGRACAATGGAACCGTGCAAGATCTTTCMCACTACTTTCTGTTCTATTCAATCACCGAGAAGCGTGAGGTCCGAGTTGTGAATGCCTCTAGCCAGGAGATGTGTGGCCACTTAARTCAGGCTAGCTACGAAGAGGTAAGGTTGTAGATAATTTATATAAACATTCTAACAGGCTTAATTAAGATGCACGCATGATTTCCCTGTTAATCTAACTGCTTTCTGCAATTTTTCCATTTTTTTTCGACTATAGCAGTGCAATGGTTCATATGACTTCACAGGACCACAGATTCCATTCGACGAAGRTGGTGTATGGCCAATGGTGCCCAACCCCTCCATGTCCAAATTCAAAAAGGGAACCAAGGCTTACCTAAARGCTGAGAAATTCAACAAAGTCTATACTTCAATGCTTAAGTCTTTAGAACATGTTTATAACGGMCATCCTGAAAGTCTAAAAGATGCTCTAGGGTTGATGTTTTCCTTAAAAATCCATCTGAAAGAACTAGTAAAAACACCAATCGACCCCGATGGTGACCCGGATATTGGACCCAATGCTGGGCCGCCATTCGACTTTGTACCGGATGGAATGGAATGAACTAGAAGTGGTGTGATGCACCTGTTCAGAAGGCTGACTCGACAGTTCATTTCGCTACTTCTGCTTTAAAAAAAACTGAGAATCTCCTTTAGAGGCATCATCATAAGTCCCCAGGGGAACCTGTGAGCGCAATATACAAACGCAAGACTTTAATTCAAAAACATCATTTTACAATTGTATAATTAGYTCTATTTTGTGGCATGCATGTTTATAAATATCAACGTGCTTAGCAGATGCACTGCTTGGTCAAGTGTTGTTAAGTTAAAACATTAGAAACATGTCGCTGTCAAATCTTGTTAAATGTTTATTTCTAATGGTTGCTAAAGACCATGGCCAGAAAGCAAATGGTAAGGTGAGCAGAGATATTCTTCTTGTTGGTATCCGTTTTATCTTACTTTCACTTCCCAGTTAATTTATAAATTTTATGCACCGCCTTCATGAGATGGAAAAGGCGTAGAGCTCAGTAGCGTCATGACGTGGCAATATTCATRTACATAAACATATTTTATTACATTTCATTCTGTTAAAATTACAACCTCAGTTTTATAACTATATAATTTACCTCAAATATCAACGGAAATGTGACGGAATTTYAAATGCCACTTTTTATTTAGATTCATTACAGTTACTGACAACTTTAGAACAACAATAACCCAATATTCATTAAATGTTCAATCTATTTGGTCTGCATTTCGCTGGGTTTAARCATTTTAAGGATCAAGGTAGCACTCCTTGGTCCCATCGTCAAAGCAGCAACCATAGTCCAGACAATTTCCYTTGGAAATATCTTTTTTCTCGTTACATTTTTTGCGACGTTCAGGTGGAACATGACAACGTGCTAATAAGAATACAAGCATTGCTTACATTAATATCATGTATGGAAAGCGCCAGGGAATAATTAACATATACGTACCGGGAGGGTTGACAAAAAAGCAAGTAATTGCATTTTTAAAAGAAGTATCAAAGCAGCATCCATTAGCCAAGCACTCTTTCTCCGCTATTCCCTTGGCACCGCACTGTTTTCGATCTTCAACTTTTACAAAGCACTTCCCTAAAGAACGTAATAGGTGGATCTCTTATCTTCTGGTTATAAGTATTAATGTGCTTGTATAACTGAATAAGTGTGTATTTCTATACTAATTGAACACAAAAACCCTTCAGGTTCAAAAAGGTAACGTAATCAATGTCAAGACACTCAGCTGTTGTTTTGTGTTTTTCCCTTTGCTAAAGTGTTCTGGTAGTAATTGAACAACTATTTGGAATTTATTTCATGATACTCTCCGCCTCGTGTCCAGCAAACATCATTTAATGTAACACAATTTTGGGAAACTTAAATTGTTATATGCCGCGCATGGTCTTCTCATCCCTTGTTCCCGATCAGTCTTCATTTGATCAATAATCAAGTTTCTAATTGTTTAGCTCCACAATGGCTTCTAATTAACTTTGTGAGGTGACGAGGGACAATTAGGGATTCACCAAGACAAAGTGGATTTGTGATAGAGGGTAGAAAGGAGACACGGGACTGTTAGGGATGTCATGGAAACTTATTGGAGCTTCAATGGAGCTCTTGGGACTGTCCCATGAGAACAGGGGGTACGATAGGCCGGTCCTGGACATGTTCGCATGAGTCATGACTAATCTACCGTTGACAGTTATGACAATTTGGAACATAGTCTTACTTGCTGCAGCTCCTGGTTTTTCGAAACAAAAAACTCCATGAGGATTTGTGCTGTCAAAACAACATCTYCTTGATAAGCAATTTTGCTTCGTGATTCCGCTAAAACCACACGAAACTCGTTTAGATAGAGTGATTGCACCACATTCTATGAAGAAAAATTGGCATTAGAGTTCATACTTTCAGATCAGAGTAATTTTTCCTTTTTTTAATTCAATACTATCAATAGTTTTGCTAATCCTCATTAAGAAAGAAGGACGTTTGACCTTCCAGTACTTTATTGGTAATTTCATCAAAAAAGGCAAATAAAATCATGAATATACTACACTAGATACTTTCTTGGAATCTAAACCCACGTTTCATGTGACTACATGGCTAGAGTTTCCAGACATATTACCTGGTGAGCTTGGAGCATTAGCTAAGAAACAAGTGCTTGGCTGGTCGACAAGTGTTTCAAAGCAGCAACCTTTTTTCAAGCAGTCCTTTTCTGGTATTCCTGCAGGGCCACAGCTTTCTCGATTCAYCTCTCTGATAAAACACTTGTCTAAAGAACAGAAAAAGTGTAAACAAGCTAAAGCGTACGTTATACGACACGTTATACTGTCTATTTAGTATAGAACTAGTGAAGTCATTAAACCCGTGAAACAAAACTTGACTATTAAAGTGTTGGAATCATAGTCAAATAGACGGATTTTTGGACTTTATACTCTATATCATTGAAAACCATGCAATTAGAGCGTACTACGGTGTATTAGTGTAATATCTATTTCACGGGTTTCTTGACTTCACTCTAAGCCGTGAAACACACTCTAGCGTACTGTACTTTATTAATCTATATTTTGCACGTTTTTATTTGTATCATACATTAAACTTTCACTATCGCAACTTTTAGCATATTTTATTGCATAATATTCTTACTTGTTTTTGCCCCGGCTTTGAGGTAGCACCATGGCGAGTTGGGGGTTGTAGTGTTGTAGCAACAGTTACGTGCTAAGCAATTTTCCTTTGAAATGCCACCAAAACCACATGATGCTCGCTTCGATACCTCCACAACACAAGCTACAAATACAAATCAATAGAAGAAATTT